ACATGCTGAATTATTGCAATCAAATAGTCAGAGACTCATCAAAGCATATTTGCTGCAAAGAAAGGCTAATGCGCCGAGGAATTTTTGATTAGGAAAAAAATAAAGACAGTTAAAGACAGAAAGCATAGAGATTTATAAAAGGATTCATGCTGTAGAGAAAATAGACTGGTGATAAAAATGTCTTCTTTCATTGTACTTGAGTTCAGGGTCATCCAATTAAATTGGGAGAAGATTAAAGATCAACTAAAGAAAAGATTCCTCTGAACAGCACAGAATTAATTCATGGTTGGCAGACATCAATTATGGTCATAGCTTAAAGACTGCATTTAAAAGGGAAATTAGGCAAATAAGTGGAATAAAATTGTCAGTGATTTTCTCCAAGGTCAGTATCACAAGCATCAACCTCACTTTAACTCCTGAAAATCTTAGCTATGGAGTAGAGACTTATAAAACTGGCCACCAAATTCTAAGATTGAATGGAATAAAATGAATATGGAGAGAAAAAATATTATTGAAGTAGAACATGAGGATATTAACTATTTATTATAAAGTAATCTGTATTAAATGTCAATGTAATGAAGTCAAAGTTAGTTTTTGCCTATTGGGCTCCACCTATTTCTTGCTCTTTCTCAACTGTATTATTTGAAATATAGTTCCTGTGTATATTCATCTGTAGTCCTCAGCCTAAAAAAGTTATTCATCCCTGACCTATATGCAAATATCAGGTTAGACACTTTGGGTAAATGATTAAAGGAAGAAGCAATAGGCCAGAGTATTGTATCAAGATCTCCTTTTGGACTTTTTACAAACACATAAGCGGTCAGAATAGGAATAATGATGCTCAAGGAGTCTTGAATCACAACAGTTCATTTAGTGACCCTTCAAAGTTACAACAGCATTGAAAAAAGTGACTTAAGACCGTTTTTCACCCTTATAACCGTTGCCCCATAGTCAAATTTGGACACTTAGCAACTGACTCATACTTATGATAGTTGTAGTGTCTTGGGTTCATGTGATACCCTTTTGTGACTTTCTGACAAGCAAAGTCAATGGGGAAGCCAGATTCTCTTAACAACTATGTTATTCACTTAACAACTGCAGTGATTTATTTAACCATGGTTGCAAGAAAGATCGTAAAATGGGGCAAAAATTCACTTAACAAATGTTTTACTTAGAAACAGAAATTTTGGGCTCAGATGTGGTCATAAGTCAAGGACTACTTGTAATCATAAAATTAATTTGGAAAATGTTACTTGAATATAAAACCTATAAATGTGTCATCCTCCAGTTATTGTCAATTTAAAATTCCATCCTGACTCTTTGCCCTATTAAAAAGGGAAGATGGACATTACAGTACATAAAAATTGGAAGGTTGTAGGTCCCCCATTTGTATTATAACATTTGTTTCTAAATCATATCATTTGGGAGAAATAATCTCAGATAGTTAAAATAGAATTATTTTTTCCCTCATAATTGTTTGGCAAATGCATGTAGCTCTTTTTGGAAGCAATATAAATCCAGCCTCTTCCAAAAATTATTTTTATTTTTGGTTGTATAGAGATGAATCAAAGCAACTGAGGAAGAAATTAATATAATTCTTCCTAAGGATATTAAAAAATACAGACATAATTACAACATGAAAAAAAGAAAAAGGTTCCTGGACTGGATAGTTATTCCACAGAATATTAAAAGATATGTATTATGTCTTTTCCTCAGTGTTATTGGAGGTCCTTTTTGTATAAAATTTCCTATCCTCCATCAATGAAGCTTATATAATGGTGATTGACAGTAAAGATAAAGATCCTACAACTGCTGACCAATATGTTTGTAAAGTATTGATACAAAAATATTGACAGTAATTCTGGAACATAGATTACATATAATATTTAATTATTCATCCTACACAATCTGGTTCTGGAAAAGGTAATCAAATGGCTGACTTTTTTTAAAAAAATGTACCTTTTTGAGCATAGCATACAAAATGAGAACTCCATTGAAAAATTTAAATCCTAACAGATCCAATTTTATATCATGCAGAATAATAGTCTGATTCTTTTAGTGGTTATTTGAAATTCCACATTACTATTGGTCTTATAGATTTACAGTATTAAGTTATGCTGTTATTTTCCCCATATCTGAACATCTAATTATATGTATTTTTCCTTTTTTAAATAAGTACATGAAATCCAGTCCTGTAATGTAACATATTTTGCTATTCTAGCTGGAATGCTGTTGAATGTTTTAAATCATGGTACATAGTATATAATATTTGCTTTTATTTGTGTTATTTATATTTATTACAAATTTATTATATTTTATTTATAATTATTAATTATTAATTTATTTTTATATAAAATATATGTACATTTATATTCAGCAATATAAGTACAAACTATATTTGAAAGTGGTAATTCTCCTTTTATATTGCTCAAATATAGTCACAATGTTCCATATATATATATATATATATATATATATATATATATATATATATATCATAAAGCCCTTTACCCACTATAAAATCCATAAACTGATAACAAAATCTATAACCAAAATAAAATCTAACCATAGCAACGGTTTAAACAACAGTCTAACACCCTCACTAGTACCCAAAATCTGTGAAAACAGGATTATTCTAACAGTCTCTAAAATGCCTGCAGGATGGTAGCCAAATGAACCTCAGAGAATTAATTTTGCTCTGCTGTTGGGGCCATTATTGAGGCGCCTCTGGGGTACATTTAAATATTTCATCCTGAGATGATCACACATAATGACTAGACCCCCGACAGAAGAGATGAACGTGCAAGTAAAATGGGTATCAAGGTCACCTAGGGCTATATGCAACAAACATTCATACAATGTTATGGGTTCCATCAGTCAGGAAGTATAGCTGACAAATCAGAGGAGGTGGACCTTCTCTGCTGTGGCACTCTCCTTATGGAACATTCGCTCCCTCAAAGTGAGGTTGTCTCCATTCCTATTTATTTTTCAGAAGTCCCTCAAGACCTGGTTATGTCACCTAGCGAGGGAGGGGTAGCTTAGAGGAATGGTGAAATCTTAAAGTAGCTCCCTTGCTGATCTAATCTCTTGTGTGTTTTGTGATTTTTAAAGTTTTTAAATTTGTCTGTTTTTGACATGTTTATTATTTTTATATTTTTTACTATATGACATTTAGGGTCACTTCTTCTGAGATGGGAGATCATAAATTTGACAGATAGACAGATAAGAAAAATATATTACCAGATTTGAAATATAACCTTCCAAGATGGGGTGCAAATATAGTTGGGGTGCTATATCTGACTTGATCCATTATCCTGAATTAATGTTTCATAATGATTAGTATTCCTCAGATACCTGATCTGATAGTCTGGGGACCATGCTTTTGGGGAATATCACTAGTTGTCCCAACACAGTTGGAAGAAGTGAGGCTAGGCATGGCTGCCTTATATTTTTTATATGACATTCACAAGGTGATCATCTACAGGGGGCTAACTTTGAATGGTTCCCCAGTTCAGGGCTAGTTAATAGAGCCCAAATATGATGGGAGTATTGAAATCTACCAGCCTCATTTCTTTGCTGTCTCAAAATTAAACAAATCATAGCCATAAAGAGCACCAGTTTAATTCCAGTAGTCATCATAGGCCTGGTGAAATCTGAGAACAGGAAGCATTATTTGCCCATTTCTCAAAACTGCGAGGTGCATTGTTATTTTCAGTTCTTTATTTAGATCTTATGAACTATGGTGTAGTTGTTTGTTCTTTGACTGGCTCCTTTTCTTCTGTTGCACTGCCTTAAACCTCACTGCATCCTCTTCTGTGGTGATCACTAAGCATAATTAAAAGACTCAAAGGGGACCCTGGTCTTCCTCTTGCTTCTTGTCCTTCAAGCAGTGGTAGATACAAATAAAAGCTGGACAAAATGATTGTTGTTTCTGCAGGGCTGTTCCAAATGAAAAGCTAATAGTCATTCAGCGAGGGGCTCCGGTGTGGTTAAACCCGTGTTGGATAAGAAGAATTGAGTGGTTGAGAGATTCATTCACGGATTCATTCATTCACTGAAAGAGTGGGAGGGAGGTAGATCTTAAAGGGAGAGTAGTGGACGCGAGAAAGTAGTGGTGAACCTCCTGTAAGTGTAAAAGAACCGTAAAAGAAAAGGAGGAGGGGGGAGAATCAGCCAGCCAAGCCACTTTAAGGAAAAGTAGTTTAAAGGGCGCGATTGACAATTCTGCGCAGGAAAGGGTTAACCACATCCTCCTGGTAAAGTTTACATGTAAATAGGGAGCAGCTGCTACTGCTCCTCTCCGGCTGAGGCTGGCCCACTAGAGCTTTTGATTGGCCTTCAATGACATCACTCGCTCCGCAGGTTATAACACAGAAAGCCCGAAGCGACTGCGACCAAACCATCCCTTAAGAGATGAGAGGGCAGTCACCGGCTCCGCCCACTTACTCATTCGCTCCCAATCATTGGCATCCCCGCTAGAGGCGGAAAACAAGCCTCCAGGAGAGAACGCCTATTGGCTGAAGGCCCCGTCTATCTCTTCTACCGCCTCGGCCCCTTTTCGAACCTTACATTTACTGGGTAGCAAAAGAGAAAGTAAGTATGTTGCAGCTGGAGATCAATGAAGCTAAGTGAATGGGGGCTTGATGTATATAAATCGATCGCCACAGCCGCGCGCCAGGTGCTGGAGAATAGCCATTCATTTATGAAGTAAGTAGATGACTTTCTTTCCTAGGGGAGAGGAGAGGAGCCGTGCCTGCGTATTTATGTAGACAACTGAGAAGCTTCGAAAAGAGTTTTTTTTTTCCCCTTTAAAGAGAAAGAGAGTTTGGGTCGATAAAAATGAGAGCGCTGCCTCTCGTCCTAACCCCCGCCTATCTCCTGTCGTCGTTTGTGCGTTTCTCTCTTTCTAGCGGATGTCCACCGAATGAGTCGGATGAAAGCGAGCTGTTCTCGTTTGGGATTGCTGCAGTATCGGGGAGGGGGGGGGAGATCGGGGTGCATAAGAGGCATCCAGCTTCACAGCATCCCTGGTCTATATCCCCGGAGGGCCCGTCTTCTCTTTCCTGGGACCTGTGGAACTATAGATGAGCCCGAGGAGTTGTTGTTGTTGTTGTTGTTGGCTGCGATTTTCTTCAATCGCAACACTGACTTCGTGGTTTGGCTGGAACTACAAACTGCCTCTGCTGCAGAGAACGCAGATCTTCCCGAATAGCTTTGCATCGGGAGAAAGGATTATCTTTGGCCTCCCGATATGTTCTTCAGACGTTTTAAAAAAACCCTCCCACATTCCACACCTGACTCGGTTATAAAAGTCACAGCATGCTCCTGGGGTGTTTTTTTTTTTTTTTTTTTTAACAAAGTACTGTTTGTCTTTTTGTTTGTCTCTCTCGCCCCCCCCCCTCCCCGCGCCTTTCCTGCCTTCTTATTTCTTGAAGTGCCTGAGGTGCACATTTGCGCGCACCGAGATCTGTGCTTCAACAAAGGAGGGGAGGCGGAAAAGAGGGGTTAAAAAGCTGCTTCTGTATATTTCAGATTTCTCGCCTCTGCGTAGCGTTCTTGGGCTGCTTCTTTCCGCCCAGATGACAGATTATTTTGTCCTTTTTTTGCGGCAGCGATTTAAATTCATCCTGCAAATACTCCCTCCCCTCTGTAGAGAGAAGAACGTTACTTATCCTGACTGTTGGTTTAGGATGAGGGCCGTACTAACGGAAGGACAGCCGTGCTTGCTGGTGAAAAGGATGCTATGATTTTAGAAGACGAATACGGAAGAATTATTTGTTCCTTTTAAAAAAAAAACATGCCTCCTTAAATAAGGTTAAAAATGATTTTTGAGGTACAGTCCTTTGGAGGAGATGAGGACAATTGCCCTTTTTGTTTGATCCTGGCCAAGCTTACTCTGCACTCCAATTCTTATGATTTAAATGGGAATTGGTTACCCATAAGTATGATTAAGTTTTCAAGTTTCAGAGACTCTGAAGGTCATGCGGTAACCTTTTTTTAAGAAAAAAATAATTGGTGACATTTTTGACCCCTTTCAATTAGACTGAGCCAGGTGCCAATGTAATTGGTCACTCAGCAGTGCTCTAGAGCTAATATAAGATATGAACTTTCAAGGTAATAGGAAGATTTAGGTTTTTTTGCTATTAAGAGAAATATTTTCAAGCTATGTAATCATGTGTTCAGCAGTAACCAGAAGAGTTTGGGTACCTTGAGGCTTGGATGTTCCAGAGCTGTCATTAAATGATTGCATTAGTATCTGACTAAAGAACAGTTCCAAAATAGCAGTTCCACTCATAAGAGATACATGACACCTTCCCATTTATTTATTTATTTATTTAAAAATCCTCTTTCATTTCAACGATTGTTTTCATTGCTAGACAATGGATCGATGCATCCTCTGTTCTTCCTTGGCAATTTTGAAAATGTCTTAAAGAAAAGTTGCAACATGTTCTTCCTTGCTCAGATTTATTTTTTCCTGCTTTCTTGAGATGTGATCTTCATGTTAATAGCTTTTGACTCTTTCATTTATGGATTATGTAGAAGAAAGTCTGGGATCTTTTGTGTAACCTTTATTTTCTTTTAGAGCAGGGATAGCAATGCTTCCGTGTAGGAGTTGTCTGCTACCTGCTCCACAGATACTGTGGTAGGTTGTCTACTAAAGTAAGACGTTTCAGGTTAATTTATTTGCCAAACCTCTTATTTTTTGCTTTTTAACATGGTTGTGTAGATTATCCAGTTAAAACATGATAAATTCAAAACCAAAAAGTTTGATTTTTCACTTTTTTCTAATGAAAGAGAGAGCAAGAAGCTATCGTGGCTGGGTTCCTTTCAAGCAAAAAATGTATTTAGTAACTCTGTTGGTGTCTGGTATTTACTATTTACTCTTGGACATATGCATTCATATTACCCTTAAGGTTTAACTGTGAGATAAAGGGGATATTCTGTAGCAAATGCCACCCTTGTGCCTACATGAACATAATATAAAGTCCTAATTTGCGAGGAATTACACTCTGTCACTTCTGCAGTTCCATAGAGGTTGGGCTGAAGGATTTTCTGATTCATTTACACTGTTGCTTCTAAATTAGCTAAACGGTAATGCATCTTTAGTTTTCTAATCTTTCTTTGCTAATTGATTGCAACTGCTAATAGTTGTTGTTGTTGTTTTTGCTTTTACCAATTCCAAACAGCTTTTGGAATGATCAGTGTTAAGGTAGACTCCCACACGTCTAAAAATGAAAGTTTGTCCATCACAAATAACTCACCTTTTCTCCTTTTCTTTTGTTTTTAACAGAGAGAGCTTGAGTTCCTTTGACTTCCCATTCTCAGCCTCCTCATGCCTCCTTCTCCACTAGACGACAGGGTTGTAGTGGCACTCTCCAGGCCTGTAAGACCTCAGGATCTCAATCTTTGCTTAGATTCCAGCTACATTGAATCTGCTTCCTCTGCCAGTGAAAACCCTGTGAGTCTCCTAAGCACGGCTGTTGTGTCCATCAAGGCTGCTAATCTGACGTATATGCCCTCATCCAACGGCTCTGCCCGCTCCTTGAGTTGTGGATGCAGCAGTGCCAGTTGTTGCACTGTGGCAACATACGACAAGGACAATCAGGCCCAAACCCAAGCCAGCACCAGCAGCATCTCTGCCAGCATAGGAACCTTGACGACTTGCTCAGCAAACCAAATGGTCAACAACAATGAGAACTCTAGTCCTTTGAGTCCAACCGGTGGTGTGGGGAGTCCAGTCTCAGGTCCAACAAAGCAACTGGCAAGCATCAAAACCATCCATCCCAATGACTTGGCAAAAAAGATGACCAAATGCAACAAAAGCCACCAAGGCCCAGTCATCATTGATTGCCGGCCTTTCATGGAGTACAACAAAAGCCACATCCAAGGGGCTGTTCACATCAATTGCTCCGATAAGATTAGTAGGAGAAGGCTTCAGCAGGGCAAGATCACTGTCTTGGACTTGATCTCTTGCAGAGAAGGCAAAGACTCCTTTAAAAGAATCTTTTCCAAAGAAATAGTTGTTTATGATGAAAATACTAATGAGCCAAGCAGAGTAATGCCTTCGCAGCCATTGCACATAGTGCTGGACTCTCTCAAGAGGGAAGGCAAGGAACCACTGGTTCTCAAAGGTATGTATAACTGCTAATCTGCTTTTTTTCTCCTCTGGATTCAATTCAAGATCTGAGCCAAGTTAAATATGACTGGGTTACCCATTCCTACACCCACGTACTGTTCCTTACTTTCTTTTAAATAAGAGTGATGTTTAAAAGAGATCACACCAATCCAGAAATCTTCTAGAGTTTCTGTGTTTCATGGGAGGGGAAAATACAAACCATACAAAACTATTATTTAATAATAGTTTTCTGTGGTAGTGTTAATAGAAAGGACCCTGAGCAGGATTCCATCTAAAGATCTCAAAGTACAACTGTTTCATCATTTCTGGAGCTCCCTGTTGCTGGGAAGAGGAACTGATGCACATGGCAGGGACAAAGGAGGAAGTTCAGACCACTCATACTTCCTTTTGGGGTAATTTTTCCTCCTGGCTTCTGAAGGACTCATAGCATGGTTGGTGGTCTAAAACAGTTTATTTTTTAACACTCTAACGTACTTTATTAAACTGGGGGTTTAATGGCCTGGCATTCAAAATAGATATAAAGAAATATACTATAAGCTCCCTTACAGTTTAGTGATGTATACATGCCTCAAAATGATTTGAAATAAATACTTCAGACCAGTGGTGGGTTGCTGCCGGTTCGCCCCGAATCAGGCGAACCGGTAGCGGCGGGAGGTTCTGCCCACCTGGCTGGATGCTTCTGCGCATGCGCACCCACAAGCGAACTGGTAGCGACAGGTTTTGAAACCTGCCCCTGCTTCAGACCTGAAATAACTGCAGTTCATCTCTGCTATTCATTAAAGTAGCTCAACTTTTTTCAGACTTCTGTGAAACCTGAAAAACAACAAAAATACTGCTACTTTAAGAGTTGCATTAATCAACTGGTTTTTTAAAATACTAGCACTTTTTTCTCAGATTTTGGCAGAAGCCTGAAAAAAGAGCTATTTTAATAAATAGAGAAATGTTGCACTTATTTGAGTCTGTGTGCAGTGTACACTATGTGTGTGTTTGTACACATACATATACATACATATTCAGGCTTGTTATTGACTCAGTTATGTAATAGAAAATATCTGCTGATTAGTTACTTCCATGCTTATTAACTAAAAGCATAATTAAAAAATATTTGTTCTATTGCTTGTTTTAATAACATATCTTATAGTAGCATAATACAAATGCGAAGACCTCCAATGTAAAATATTGGAGTATTGTACTTTATCATCATTATGTCCTTTTTGTCATAAGCAATCAGAGTAGTTGCTAGACAAAAATAAAACTACAAAATATAAATCAGGGGTGGAATTCTACTGATTCAGACTGGTTTGGGCGAATTGGTAGCTCTGACGATCAGCTGGGAGCGAACTGGTTCGTCCCGACGATCAGCTGGGCCCACCCGCCCACCACTTTCCTACCTTTATCTTCTCAGCTGATTCACGTGGCACAGCAGATTGGCACGTCTCAGTTGTGTTTCTCCTGTGAAGAAACACGGAAGTGAAGATTTCTTCAAACTGCGCATGATCACCAACCGGTTATTAAATTGGGAGGACCCCACCACTGATATAAATCCATCCCAAACAGTATTATTAAAATTGTGTGGTATTGTATCTGATTGCTTCAGTAATTTATTCACAATATTTATAACTCGCAACATGATAGATGAGAAGTGTTCTTAAGAAAATCTTTGCAAAATGTGCATATCATTCATATTTTTAAATCTGATTTGAAGAAGCTGGACTTAGGAGTAATAAGGATTTCAAAAGTCTGCCACTTGGGCTTCCATTCTAAGTGATTATATGGGCAGGGGTGCACATAGAACTGTGATGGCATGTGTGCTGGAAGTGCCCATTGCTCTTCCGGGTTCTGGTGCACCGGCCAGCTGGTCTTCATGTGCGTGGGAGCACCGGAAACCGGAAGAGCAGCTGCCCGGTGCACATGCGCATGCTGGGAAGATGATCTTCCAGTTTCTGGTGCGTGCATGTACACTGGCCAGCTGGTCTTCGCACATGTGTGCATGCCAGAAACCGCAAGACCAGGTGGCCAGTGCGCATGCATGCACCAGAAACAGGAAGAGCAGCCGCCCGGTGTGCACATATGCACTGGACAGCTGCTCTTCCAGTTTCTGTCATGTGTATGCGCACTCCCATTTCAGCACTCGATGCCGAAAAGGTTCACCAACACTGAAGTAGAATCTTCAAAGCACATAGAAAACAATGGTAGGAAATGGTGAATTACCCCTTATAGGCTGATTTGGATTAGATAAATCTAAGGCAGCTGTGCAACTTTGAAATCAAACTGTTGTTTATTAGAATATTGTCATGATTTATTTTAAATGTATTCACTTGAAAAAATAGAGTTTTAATGAGGCAAGTTCTTTCACAGGTTGCCTTCAGACTTCATCAGTTATAGTGAAGTCACTCTAAAATTAATGGGATTTACAATCTCCAAACAAATGACTATCAGAATTGTAAAATTCAGCATATTTAATGAAATGAATAGCAGTAAACTTTCAAATAAATTAAGCAGCTTTGAAGCAGGAGATTAAAATAGAAGTTGCTTTTTGCAGTATGATGCATCTTCCAAAGGCCAAAAGAAAGAAAGAGAACAAACTATGTTGTTTGTTAATGTAAAAAAGAGAAGTAATTGTTAACTAAAGTTTCATAATTCACTAATGAGGAATGGCATGCTCTAAGTACACAAGGTTTTTAGTCAAAAGTTCTACTCATTTTAGAATATTTTCAAGAGAACAAAACAAGAAACTCAAAAAAGAGGAGAAAAAGCTGGCTGGCTAAAAACGATGTTTAGATGTGCAGTTGTGAGAACTTTGCAATTAAACTTCATAGTAAACTGTCTTTTTGACTGAAAGACAAGATATATATATTTTAAATGAGAAAGAGTGTTTTTAATATGTGTGTCATAACACCGGGGAATTGAGATTGCAAATTCTATGGGAATTTTATTTCCTTGAGAATCTGTGTTGATAGAGGGTAATTTGATTTATCCTCCTGGAAAGTTAGAGAAAGGTTTGATGGCGATGAATTATCTTTTTCAGAATTTCAGTAAACTAGACTTCTTCAGTTGCAGTTGCATATCTCACCTACTAATAAGTCCCACTGAATGGATGGAAAATGATTTATAAATAGATGTTTTGGGTTATACTGTTATTTTGTTTTCTAATGATAGCAACTGAACCTACCATAACTAGGTTCAGTTTCTCTGCCTCTGACCTCAAGATTTTCAGTGCTGTTTGCCAGGGTTCTGATAAGGCAGACATCTTCTAAGAAATATTGTTTTGGGGATCTTATTTACCAAAACAGTTGTATTCCAATGGGAGACAACTTTTTTAGTTACCACAAATAAAATCCAATTCTGCTAATAGATCTTGCGGATTTCTCATGAGTTTACTACCGGTGTATGGAAAACTACACAGCAGCATAATTCATGCAGGAATATTTATTCTTTCACCATTTTTAATTGTGTGACTCTACCAATAAGGGCAGCATATTGGTCATATGCATTTCATTCTTCTATTTCTAAGGAAGTAAATAGTTTTCCTTTCATTTTTTGCCCCTTCAGAACTGGTTCCATGAAGAGGCCTTTAGGAAAACACCTTGTTGACTAAGCCCTTTGCACCTTGGCCAGTAGAAGATTATGCTTGTGCCTTTGTAAATAGAGCATCCCTTTATAAAAATTCATACAGTTCCAGGCATTGACCACTCTGTTGCTTAAGTCCTATTTTCTGCAATCAAGTTTGGAGCGGTTTACTTTGAGTTTGTATCTATTGTTTGCCCGTATATTATTGCGGTTGAAGCTGAAGTAGTCATTGATAGGTAGGACGTTGTAGCAGACAATTTTGTGTACTATTACAAACAATTGCATTCTAAGATTTCCACTGGTGTCAATGAACATCATTTTGTAGATGAAATGGAAATAAAACACCTAAATATACTATGTTTTATATGTGTTTTGATGCCAAAGATTACTCTATTTCTAAGTGTGCTTAGGACCTTTACAATAATATCTGTGCCTAGGATTTTTTTTTTCCCAGTTTAGGAAGTGAGCCCAAATTATTTTTTAGGCAAAAAACTAAACAACAACAACAACCCCCAAATCATTCCTGCTAAGCTTCAGAAATTTTTAATGAGGAAAATTGATGTTAGTAAACATCAAATTCAATTTTCTGTTATAAACCTGCAGAGATCTAAAAGTAGATCTCTCTCTGTTTTCTGCTCTTCCTTGTGTACAGGAATTATATGCTAGCCTGATTTATGAAATGGGGGGTATTCACTAATTATAAAAGGCTTTGTGGAAAATACAATTTTAAAAATGGCTTTTACTGTGACTTATATATTCAAACTGGGATGGACTCCCTTGTCTCCCTTGGAAGGAAGCTAGCAAGTCTTTGACATGTCTTCAAGCATTAATTCATCTTAAAATGGCTACGGCAAGGATTATATATTCTCTTAAATTGGTAATTTTTAATACAAGCTTTAGAGCATTGATTGGGAAAAAGTTATGGGGTGTTGCAGAATAGTCAAGATGATCACAACTACTACATGGTAGCTATCTCTGTATGAGCAAAGGACTTCAAAGTCCTTCTACTACCTGAGGAAACTGGTAGCGTTGCGGTGAGACTGGCTGGAAAATAGTGGGCTCCAATGAGCTTTGCAAAAATCCAGCCAGACAAACTGCTGTCAAGGGGTCTTCAGACCGGAACCATCCTATAGGGACGGTGAAGAAGGAGAGGTGCCTCAGATGACCAAGAGGAACAGGCAAGTTCCTTGAAAGGTTGGAGGCAGCTCTTCGATCCAGCGGTGGGGGCGGCGGCCATTAAAAATGCCTACTTTGAAGCTGGGGCAACCGGAATAAGACTTTGTGCAGGAATGGTGTTTGAACGGAGTATTGGCACTGGGTGAGTGATTGGCCAATTCACAGGTAAAAAAGGATTAAAAAAAAAACTTTAAAGTGTCCCGGCGAGGAAAGGCTAATTGGCACTTGGGAATTTTAATGGAGGGAGAA